CACCCACCTCCAGCTTGGCGAATTTCTCAGCCTTGTAGCAGGCGTACTCGGCGTTGATCAGCTTTGCCAGCAGAAACTCCTGGAACTCAGGGCCCTTTGGGGGTGTGAGGGGCGGCGTTGGATGGGGGCCACCACAGGACCCCCCAAAACAGCACTCATGGGTGCTCACCTTTCTGAAGATGGCTGGGGCGGGCAGCGGTGGGCCAAAGAAGGGGACATCGTCACGGGCGGTAACAGAGACCTATGGTGAGCATCAGGGGTCAGTGGTGGCACTGACACCCTGTGGGGATGGGCAAACTGAGGCACGGGGCATACCTTGTAGAGGGGGCACTCACAGGACCCCCCAAAACAGCACTCATGGGTGCTCACCTTTCTGAAGATGGCTGGGTCGGGCAGCGGTGGGCCAAAGAAGGGGACATCGTCACGGGCGGTAACAGAGACCTATGGTGAGCATCAGGGGTCAGTGGTGGCACTGACACCCTGTGGGGATGGGCAAACTGAGGCACGGGGCATACCTTGTAGAGGGGGCACTGGGTGCCACCTCCTGCCAGCTGCACCACCACGAAGGCGTGGAGGAAGTTGGAGGCGATCATGTCGGGGACGAAGGGGGTGTTCTCGTCCTGGAACACCACTGCCACGATATCATTGCCGATGTGGCGCTTGCGCTGCAGCTGTGGGGACATAGGGGACATGGGGGAGAAACGGTGGGAGAGGGGACACGGGTGACATGGGGGGCACAGGGGACATGGAGAACAAGGTGGACATGGGGAACACAGGGGACAGAGGGGACAGGAGGTGGTCACACCATGGGAGGCAAAGGCAATGGCAGCCCCTGTGTCTCATAGACATCCTCCAGCACCCCTGGGTGCCCCAGGAGCCTCTGCACCCCATGGACACCCACGGGTGCCGCACCTGCTGGGTGTCCCCCTCAGTGTAGGGCAGCTTGGTGGAGACATGGAACATGATCTCCTTGTCGCGGAAGTGGCAGTACACCGACTCGCTGCCCGTCTGCCCGTGGGTCACGTCCAGCCCCCCCCGAAACCTGGGTGGGGGGGAGAGGAGCCAGCACCCTGAGCCCTGGGGGGTCCAAGGGTGCCCCCTGCCCACCCAGTGCCCCGTCACACACCCCTTGAAGTCCCGCAGCTGCACCCGCTGCCCCAGGACATCCAGGAATTCGGTGAAGGCTGGGCTCTCCTCTGTGGTGCCGAAAAGCTCCTCCTCGGAGGTCTGCGGGAGGGTGGGGGTGTCAGCACCTACCTGGGACCCCCTCACCCCGACCCCCACCCACCTTGCCCCATACCTGCCCCAGTTTTTGGTAGATCACCCCGAATTTGAAGTGGTTGCTGAGCACGGGCTCATCGAAGGCAAGGATGAGACGGGATGCCTGCAGGAGGGGGATGAGGTTGGGTCCATGGGTGCACCCACTCCTCTCACCCCTTGCACCCTGCTCACCTTGGGGTAAAGCACGGGGTAGAAGCGATCCACGTTGATGTCCTCGCACACCAGCTGCGGGAAGAAGGGGGTGTGATGCCATGGTGGGGAATTGGGTGGGGGGCAACCATGGGTGCTGTTGGGGGTGTCGCACCCACCTTGGCCATCTGCACCACATTGGGGAACTCGGCCAAGCAGGAGATGGGCACCACGTCGTGCAGGGTGCGGGTGCGGGGGCTGCGGGGCAGGTGGTCAGGGTGGTCACTGCTAAAAACCTCAGGCAGCACCCATGGATGCCCCCCTGGACCCAGCTCACCGCAGCAGCAGGTGGAGGTGCTCCTGCTCGTCGTACTTGAGGGAGAAGACGAGGTGGCCCAGCGCAGGGTCCAGGGAGTAGTAGTTGAAGTGCTCCTACGGGGAGGAGGACAGCACCCATGGCCGTGTCAATGGGTGCCCTCACACCATGGGGCACCCACACCGGGCACCCATGCCCATAAGCGCCCATACCCATAGATACCCACACCCATGCATCACCTATGTCCACGAGCACCCATATCCAAGGGGTGCCCATGCCCATAGATACCAAGATCCATGTCCATGAGCACCTATGTTCATGGGGCACCCATACTCCTGAGCACCCATAACATGAAGCATGTATGTCCATGAGCACCTGTACCCCTAGATCCCCACACCCGTCCATCACCCATGCCCGTGAACACCCATGCACATGAGCACCCATGCCCATAGATACCCACACGCAGGTCCATGAGCACCGCTGCCATGCGGCACCCATACCCATGCAACACCCAGCTCCATGAGCACGCATACCCAAGGGGCACCCATGCCCATTGATACCCGCACCCACTCCCATGAGCACCCATGTTGATGAGGTCTCCATGCCCAACCCCACCCACAGCCATGGAAAACCCACCCACCCCCAGCGCCCACACCTGGAGCACCCACGGGTGGCCTCACCTTGCCCAAGAAGTGCTTGCGGTAGATCTTGGCCGTGTGGTTGCCCTCCAGCTTCGCTCGGGTGCTGGGTGCTG